AAACGACTTAAAATCAGTCATAAAATTGTGACATAGCCACCAATATTTATAGCAGCTGAATTCACAATAGCGAAACTGTGGAACCAAGCTAGATGCCCACAAGAGATGAATGGATAAAGAAACTGTGGTATATCTACACAATGGAATATTACTCAGCATTAAAACAGAATAAAATTGTGGCATTTGCAGGTAAATGAATGGAGTTGGAGAATATTATGCTAAGCAAAGTAAGCCAATCCCAGAAAACTAAAGGCCAAATGTTTTCTCTGATTAGTGATGCTGATCTATGATGGTGGGGGGAAGGCATGGAAAGAATAGAGGATCTTTGGATTGGGCAAAGGGGAGGGTGGGAAGGGGTCATAGGTGTAGGAAAGATGGTGGAATAAGATAGACATCATTTAGGTACATGTATAATTGCATGAACGGTGCATCTCTACACTGTGTACAACCAGAGAATTGACATGTTGCACTCCATTTGTGTACAGTGAATTGAAATGCTGTCATGTACAACTAAGTAGAACAAATAAAATAAATACAAAAAAAAGTGTTATGTGTATAAGCACACACATTTACATAGAAATATCTTCTTGGAGAACAAAAACTGTCAAAAGTCCAGGTGGTTTCATATTAGAATATCAATTATCCAGGCTATTAATTATACACCATGTTAACAATCACAAAAATCTGAATGAAATCTAATACTCAGGAAACATGAAAAGTTAAAATTAAGTGAGCTAACCATTCAATTTAAGAAGATGAAAAAAATTTAAAAAGATGGAAAGAAGTGACAAGGGTTAAAGGTCAAAATTAGGGGTAAAACCGACAAGAGAAATAGAGGCTGGCAGAAATAGAAGGTCAGCTCTTTAAAAATTAACAGTGTAGACCTCTGCAAAGACCACCAAGGGAAAAGAAGGCAAGGGGATGAGATTTTTTAAATGGGGGGAAACCTGTATTTGTTGTCCATCAGAACAAAATTCTAGTTGAATTCCAATTCCAGTTGGCTTGCTTTTGTGTGAAGGTATTTAAAATACCAAAACCAACACATTATTAAAACTCAGACTATAACAACACCTGAAAAATAAAACAAAAATGTAATTGACTTCAGTGGATAAAGGATATTACTTGGCTGCGAGCAGATGAGGCAGCTGAAATGCTAACAGATATGCAAAGAGATCTACAATTCCTAGCACCAGAAAAAGACGATTAAATAAAACAGCAACAAGATCACATTTTACCCCTGCTTGACTGACTCATAATAAAAGGCCACCGTGCCTTTAGGGCCACGGGTCACCCTGAGTGGGAGGATATAAATACCAGCTCAGAAATCTCACATGCTCCTAGGAGAATACCTGGCAGCGCCCAGTAACTGGTGGGATTTGGATCCTTCATTAGGAGGACCAAAGTTCTAATGGGGGGAAGAGGGCCAGCCACAGGGGAGCACTCTGCGGTCACCAGAAATAAGGTGTGTGGAACACAACAAGGATCTTGAGAACATATCTGCCTGGAAATGTCAGGACAAGCTCAAGGCTTAGCATGTTCTCTTGGCCACGTGCTCCATAATGTCCTGATCAAGACCTTGCTCTGAAGCACAGTCTCTGTCACCCATATTACTGGTGGAGAAAGCACTTGTTTAGGGGAGAACCAGAGAACAAGGACCCCTGCTTCACTTGAGGCTGGAGATGCAGGAGGGCTCAGGGGCGGGCCAAGGCTGGGAGAGGCAGGGATGAGGATCAGTTATCCCAGAATGCAGGGTACGGCGGCTGCTTGTGAGGGCAAAGAGCGTGTGGAATGATCCCGGGAGCTGTGTACTCTAATACCCAATGCCTTCTCTCTGGGGAGGGACCACTGAGGGCTAGCCACCCTCTGAATCTCTGTCCCTCCTCAAATTCACATGTAAGGATTTTAAGCAGCAAGCCTTTTCAGGTAGGCTGCAGTAGTGTCCGTGAATGCATCTCGTTCTGTCACTTGGCGTCCCCTTTGTCTGGTGGATTTGCAGCTCCTCCCATGTAGAACAGCATCTATCTATTCCTCTCCTCCTGAAATCTATGCTTGATCCACCAATTTAGCAAATGTGACCCAAAGAGCCTGGTATGTTGCGATTTTTGCATTTCCCGCTTGCCATAACCCTGAGATGACGATGTGAATAAAGGCTAGCTCCACGGGTTTGGGCATAAGGACCCCCAATCAAAAGCTTCCTAATTGTGAGACGGGTGAGGGAGGCCATCCCAACCACTCAGTACAGCAGATTCAAAATACACAAAAAGGAACAGCAGAGGTCAGCCTCCTCAGCCCTGTCTACAAGGAGCCCCGCCAACCTACAGACAGAGTCATTCAGGCAACAAGGCGGTAACAGCGTTAAGCAATCAAGCTTTGGTTTGATGTCCATTAAAAATTGATTGCACCATCAGTGAGTGGCCAAGAATTAGTCTTCTGCAACAGTGACAGCTGTCTATCAGAAGAAGCAATAATTCCTTGTGAAACAAAATCCGAGAGCAGCCTGCTCCTTGTCCCTCCACACCCTTTTCCCATTTTTCTATGTCTCCATTTTCAACCTGAGAAAATGACCTACTAAGAGGCCCAAGGGTGACTGATCACTACCAGATGGAAGACCTGAGTGCGAGTCTTCCGGTGGGCTCCAGGGCCGTTTTCACCTCCAAACTGCAATATTCTCTATTCCCATCTGCTCAGAAATGACCCTGTTGTTCAGTTTCCATCCTGGAAGCCCCCTGAGGTTCCCAGCTCCTGGTGGCAGAGCTCTGGAAGCAGAAGGGAGGGTGAAGGAAGTGGGGAGGGAAAGAATGGGGACAAGAATATATCAACAGTCTTTTTTTCAATCTAATTTTATTTTATTTTATTTTGTAGTGGTAGATGGACAGATGCCTTTATTTTATTTGTTATGTGGCGCTGAGGCTGGAACCTGGTGCCTCCCACGTGCTAGGCAAGCCCTCTGCCACTGAGCCACAACCCCGGCCCTTCAACAGTCTTTTAAGTGAGTTCTCATGGTCTGTGACTCGGGAGTTCTCTTTCAAACCCACCCAGAGGAGAAAGCAAGGGAGGTGGAGACCTAGAAACATCCAAGGGTTGATCTGAGCGTCAACCTGAATGCATCTCTGAGTAATGAGACCACAGGGGAGATTTACACCTGTTACAGGGCTGGGAACTTTCAAGAAACTGAGGCACCGCGAAGACAGTCCCCCAACCCCGTCAAACCGCAGTTCTTGCCATCAAGTCAGAAAGGTTTCAGACATGTCATTCAGAATAACAGAGATGAGTTTATTGAAGGGATAGGAAAAGGGAAAAGGGATACTACCAAGGGACACAGCGGGTCCTTTCAGAGAGGGACAATGTGCCCCTCTCCCAATCCAGTTTTATTGGGGAAATCCCAGAGAAGTTTCCAGAGGGTGCTGCCCAGGCCCACCTCTTGACTTCTGACTGACAGCAAGAGGACATCAGACTTTCAAGCACCTATTGCCATGAGAATTCTTGGTCCCCTTAGTCCATGCTGAGCGGTTCTAATTGGATTCCCAATCATTTTTACAGATTTTATGGTTAGGAGAAATTATCCTTTTCTTCTAGAATCTGATCCATGAAAAGGGTAACAAAAGTCTCTCCCTTCAAAGTAACTTGGTTCCTCTTATTTCCTGCCAGCATTTCCTTGCAGATTGACATGTGCTTTGCCGAGGAATGTGACATATCCCAACCACTTAGGCCAGGCAGAGCTGCAGGTCAATTGCTTTTTGGCAAAGAAAGCATGTGGGGTCGACACAGTGGGCCCATTTTATAGAATTATTCTCTTACCTCATGTTCCTTCCATCCTCATCTGAGTCCATCCTCATCTGGGTCCACCTATTTGAAACGTGGGGGAGGGACAAGCAGAGGAAAAGTGCAGAAACTAAGGTGTGTGGGCAGGTGGTGGCTCTTCTCCGTGCTAGGAGTGAGATTTGCAGTGCTTTACAGTATTCTGCAATAGACTGTGTTAATTTAATCACTGGCTAGCTATTTCTCTATTTCTACATTGAAAGGGAACAAGACTGGAAGGTAGCAGCTGGTGCTCTCTCTGAGAAGCCCAGGTCAGACCCAAATGTGGATAGAACAGGTGGGAATGTGACCCCAAGATTCAGGGATGCTGGAACAGAGAGAATTAGACAGAGAAGGCAGAGGACCGAGGCTGACGTGCTCTTGACCCATCTGCTGCCAGGAGTACCCAGGGCAGCATCCCACAGGACTGTTTCTCTGAAGGCCAGTGGAGCCCTTGTCCAGCCATTCCTCTGGGATGTTAACTCCCCCTCACTTCCCGTCTGCACAGCTGACCCAACTTCAGAGAAAAGCCTGTGGTGGGACCCCCTTACAATTAGAAGCCCAGCCAACAGTTGCCTCCAGCTGTTCTTTCTTCTCCATCTCCTGCTAACCTACTGGCTATTTTTCATCTCCACTTCCTAAGACTATGGCCTCAAGCTGAGAATGGCAGCTGAGGAGCTGCTCCCTGATCCTGGGGCCAGGAAACGCAGTTCAAGAGACCTGACGTGCAGCACCTCCCTGGCTAGCAGAGCCTGGCTGAATCTACAGCGGTGCTCATCATCAGAGTGAGAAATAGTGCTTGTGTTCTAACATGGGAGGGGTTGTTTTAAATAAATTGTTTTCCAGCTCAAAAACAAACAGACAGAAACACTGCACATTTTTTTTGTTGTTGTTGTTTGTTTGCTGTTGCTTCATAGTCAGTGTGACACTGGATCCGCATAAGCCTCACCCTGACCTGATTCTGTCTGAAGATTGGAGACCGGTGACGTTTGGAGCCACAATGGAGTGGGTCAGCCAAGGACTGAGCCAAGATAAATTTTTCCTCTTCTAAGTTGTTATTGGTGGGTAGTTTTGTCACAAGCAACAAAAAGCTTCCTTGTGGAAGGGAGCAAAAAAATAAAACCAACTTTTTTCTTCTACCCACCTTTGGTTTTTCCCTGGGGACCCTGTAAACTGAATCAACAAGACACACTAACAGGAGACAATGTATTACATGGAAATTTATTAACATGTGCATCCCACATACACGTGAGAATACTCAAGAGATAAGTAATGCCAGGAAGCGGTTAGAACGTGGGCTTAGATAGCTTTTTAACAAAATAAGAGTATTTTAGGGTAGCGAAATATGCTACCCTTCGTCAACGAGGGAAAAGCCAGGCTCTGTCGGCCTGCCTGGGGGAACTTCTGTGCTGCGGAGCTATTACCTGCTTCCCACTGAGGCTCAGCTGACCACAGGGGGCAGGCTTACCCTCCTGACATCTACTACTTCAATGCAGATTCACTAAATAGCCACTGGAAGCCCAGCACTGTTCCAGGGCCTGGAGGAATGGCAATGAGGAGAACTGACCACGCTCTGCCTGTAGGGGTCTGTAACCTTCTATGATGGCTAACCTAGGAGGCTGCTCCTTTCTTCACCACTGCTCTAGGGGAGGCAGGAACAGAGGAGAGTGCTGATAAACACGGAAGAAGGGCTGCAGAGTCGTGAAGAAGGAGGCGTTTTGGAAAGTGAAGATATGGGAGCCAGTGGTCATGTTGTAGAAGGACACAAATCCAGTCTCCCAGTCCAGAAAAACTCCCACAACCAGGGGCTTCTCACATAGAGGAAGAGGAGTGGGGGGACTGGTCAGAGCTAGGTAGTCTTGCCCTTTGTGCAGCCTGATGGTCCAGAAGCCAAACTCCGGCTCCTGCTTCATGTCAGCGCCCCTCTGCACACTGTCCAAACAGACTCCCAAATCCCAAGCAGTCCCTTCTCCAACGTCCACTTCAAAGTAGTGTCTCCCTGAGGAGAAGCCCCCGAAGCCCAGGACACAGGGGTAGGCACTGAATCTCCTGGGAGAAAAGTCAAGATCCTTCTGGCAGCCTCCGAGAGTCACTTGTCTCCCGTCCTCTGACAGATTCAGGCTGGGATGAGCTGTATCCGGATCCAGAGTCACACTGACTGCAAAGGACAAGAAAGCGGCAGAGAGCAATATGAGTGTTCTTGCGCCAGGCAACTTATTTAAATAAAGCCAGTCTGTGCTCAAGTACAGGCAGAACTCTTACTAGCTCTGCGAGTGAAGCACAGTCACCATGTCTGCTGCAGACCCTGGTGGGAGAATGGAATGGGGACAGTCGGCCTGCATCTGGTGGACATGGTGAGTGCCTAATCAGTGATCCCAATCATAGTACATCCATGACATCACCCTCACCACCACTGTCCTTTCCTTCAGAGACACCAGGGCGTTGGAGTGGTTCCTGCCCTGTCTAGGTCCTTCTCCCATGTGGGACTTCCAGGAACCAGGAAGTAGTACAGCTGAAAGGAGCCCTCCCGTCTCCCTTTGACCAGCACTGTATGGTAGCAAATATCTGTACAAGACAGTATAGATGGAGTAATAAATGTTATGTATAACATATTATACATGTCACATACAATAAATGCATACACAATAGCGTGTATTACAGGTATATCATACATACTATGTCTAACTTCATGTGTTTAACATGCATGTTTATAATATAATATGTTATACATATTATATATCCTATCTTATATAAGTAAAAAGCCAATCTTTAAATAGTACTCTTTTATATATTAAAGCTTCCCATATTTCCCACACACAGCATATGATCCATTACATTAAAAGCATGCAATCTCCACATTTTGTGGCTATCCATCAGTTCTGGATTATTAGAGGTATCCTATTCTCTCTCTCTCTCACATATGTATATGAACAGACTGGAGTGATGGTTTTACCAACTGCACAGAGTCGAAGCGTGGAGCGAGTGCACGAGGCGACCTACAGAGCAGGGAAGCCTGGGTATCCTCAGGGGAGGAGCATCTTTTCCAAACAGCAGGAGAGTCTCTGAACTCACTTCACATGCAAGCCTGCCTGACGCATAGGACGCCCCCCCACCACCACCAGCAGTCGTCTCTACAAGTGTGATCACAGGGCTCTGAGCCTACAGAGGGCAGCTGGCTCTTCTTTCCCTGTTCTTGTAATGTCAGGGTACCTCCCTGCCCAGTGGGTTACCTTATGCTGACCACACTATGTAACCAGCATGACCTGGGAACAGCACCATGATGGTCTGCAGGTAACTTGAAGCTTGAATGTCAAATCTGTACATTATACATAATGTATAGATAAGTTTGTTTGTATGTGTGCGTGTGTGTGTGTGTGTGTGTGTGTGTGTGTGGTTTATCCTGAGAGCAAAACTGTGGTTTAACATTAGAAACTAAATTATTACAACCACCACATCATCAAGTTATGGGAAAGAAACTGCAAGATGCTGAAAATGAGTGAATCTCAGTCACTAATTCCAATCCTTATGATGACTGGCTTCTTTTGAAACCAAGTCACTTATCAAAACAGTAAAGTATGTATACTCTAAAGCTGGACACATTTATTAAAAAACAGAATGTAAGTATAAAATGCCATTCAAATACCAGAAGATGATATTGACTATAAAAAAAATTCCCAGATATAAGTAAGTAAAGAACCCAGTAAAAAAAAAAAAAAATCTTAAGCCACAGGAAATCATGGGTAAATTAGGCTAATGGACATCAAAAAAATTTTTTTTCAACCTCACTATGAGCTGGAGAAACTTAAAATAAATTCACAATTAAGTACCATTTCAAATCCATCAGATATATTTAAAAATTTTTATAAACAAAGAAATCAGGGAGATGTGAAACATTGGGAATTCTTTTGTGACTAGAGGGATATATAAGTGGTTACTAGTTCAAGATCTGTAGAATCTAATAAAATTAGGATGTGCACCCCTTGTGTTGACCTTTTCACCTCAGGGTACTGTACTCTACAGCACATGTCTACCTCCTCTGGGTCTAAGGCAGAACGCTGTAATCAAATGCACCAATATTTCTGCAGTAAAACATATTTTCAGAATAAGTGGAATAAACAGACTTCAAAAAGTCTTGGATCGATGCAGTTCAGACATGGCCATGAGGACAGAAATGCTCAAGGGTAGCCTTCTGTAGCCCCTGGCTCTCAGTGTCACATCCTTGTAAAAGTCCTACCCTTCAGGTGTGGGCAGCATCTGAGAATTGCTTCTGGCTGACAGAATATGGCCAAGGTGATAGGATGGAGCTTCTATGACTGCATTTCATTAAGACTCCATCTTGCTAGCAGATTTACTATAGAGTCTCTCTCTCTTCAGCCCACTTGGAAGAAAAAACTGAGGAGCTCATGTGCAAGAATCTGAGCAGAGGCCTCTAGCAGTGGAGGGCAACTTCCATCCAACACCCAAGAAGAAGCCAGGGCCCTATGTCTGGCCACCCTCAGGACACAGATTCTGCCAGCAACCGGAGTGATCTTGGAAGTGTACTCCTTCCTCCCCAGCCTAGCCTCCAGACCAGAGCACGAGAGGACACCCTAACTGAGAGGTGTGAGGAGCACAAGCAGAGGCCCATCCGAGCTGTGCCTACATGCCTGGCTCACAAAAACTGCAACATAATATATCTGTATCATTTTCAGAGAGTAAATTTTTTGGCAACTGTTGGCCGCATAAACCAAGTCATTCTAGGGTAGGTCTAACTTGGCAGCCAAACACATCATGATAAGACTTTCCATTTTCAGAGTCTTTTGACATTCATAATTATGCATAAGAAACTGTGGCACTACATCAGGCACTATTAACAGAATCAAGGGAGCAGGAAGCTAAGGCTTTTGAATGAGCAAAACTTGGTTTTTGGATAGGGTTCTAATATTAACCTGGATGATCTGAGTCAAGTCCCTAAAATTCTGAACCGTAATCTATGATACTCATCTACCTTTCTTGCATTGCTCTAAGACTTTAAAATATTCACAATAAACACTCTAATCAGATCTAACACCACGGTGTGGCCTTGTCATGTGCCAGATGCTGTGCTGGCAATTTACACACAGGAAGGAAGTGGGAACTGCTAATATATTCATTTTCAGATGGGAAAACTGAGGGCCTGGAGTTGCCTGGAGTGACAAGGGTAATCTGTGGAGCAGGAGGAACTTGAAGGGTCCACAGTCAACCAGCATCGATGGCACGCCAAGCCTCAGAGCAGTCCAGGAGGGGAAAGTGTAACGCTCCTCTGCAAGTAACTACCCAGCCTCTGGCTGCGTGCCTGCTGAGGACACTGGGGACCTCGGTCACTGTTCAGGGTCCCTTCCATCCAGCATTTAGGAATTCTTGAGTTCACATACCTTGATAGCGTCTCAGCATTTTCTTCACATCTAAGTAAAGCTCAGAAACGTTGCACGTGGTATGAATCTCCATGGGAAAGTCCTCCAGGGTTTCCAGCCTCTTCCCCCAGTTCCTAGAAGAAGCAGAGGCCAGAGGCTTCCTCAGTGGCATGCTCCATTCAGCTGGAGGGCCCTTGCCCCTCCATTCCTGCACTCATACAGGACCTACCTGGTCACGATGTCTTTCACATCCTATAAAGGAACAGGGACAGAAGGTGAGTATTCCATGGGACCTGGCATGTAGAGCTGTTCCCTACAAACATTCTTCCCAAAGAAGGACAGAGCACGATCCCAGCCTTGGAACTGACGGACACTAGGAGGGGACGATTCCCAACCCCACCTCCGGCCGACTTGGCCTGAGTCTGTCACCTCTGTCAGCAGCTCTGGGAACAGTACTGTCTGCAGTGGATGGGCCTGTGGGCTGCCCGGGGAGTGGCCAGGGGCTTTGTTCGCGCTGCCTCTGGCAAGACTTGTTTTCAATGGCCTACGTTTCTTTAAAGTGAGCCCATATTGGAGGTTCCTTGTCACAAAGGTGCTTAGTGGGGAATCTGTGCACCACTCAGGAGACTGCGCCACGGAGGAAGTGGCAGTGGTGTCACGTGGTGGGGGAGCAGATGTGCCATACGCAACCCTATAGTGCGACCACCCTCCCTATTAGCGGGAGCCCAAAGTGACAGGTCCTGCTGTCTCTCAGGGGCACGCATTCTCCATGTAGCTGTACAAAGACCCACGAGATCCACAGCAGCAGGCCTCCATGGGCAGATCTGGGAAAAGCCTGGTACTCATGTGGCTGCTTCCCTGTCACCATCTGTCATGGGCAAAGTGTCTCAGGAGAGAGTCTGACAGTTGGGGATCTGTGCACATGGGCCACAGGGAAGGGGATGGCAGAAGTTACCTGTGGTGCCACTAGGCCACACCGTGTCCACCCAGAGCAAGTGTGCTCTTCTAATTATCACACAGGTACCCCATGGACGGACGGGAGCCCCCGGAGGAAACGGACTCACTATCTCAAAGAAGCATGACCTTCAATTCCCCACACGCTGCTGCACCGCTGTCAGTGAAGGCAGGCCTTCCAACCTTCCTGCCCGCCTTCCGACTCCCTCTTCCGACACTTCCCTCCCCTGCTGCAAGTCCACAGCCTCACCTGCAGCAACTTCTGCGAGGAGCTCTGACACTTTGCCTCCAGCTCCAGGATGTGGCTCTGGAGTTCATCGCTCTTGTGCTTCAGCCGGGCCTCACTGTCCCTCATCCTGCTCAGCAAGTCCTCCTCTTCCTCCTCCAGCCTCCAGAGATGACACTGCTCCTCCAAACACAGAAAAACCTGGAGACTCTTAAAGTCAGACTTGATTTTCTGTTTCCGAGCCTCAATCTTCTCCTAGAGTCAAAAAAGGTCAAAAGGGGGTGACAAGCTGGGCATGGTGGCGTATGCTTGTAATCCCAGTGGCTCAGGAGGCTGAGGCAGGAGGATGGCAAGTTCAAAGAAAGTCTCAGGGATTTAGTGAGAACCTGTCTCAAAATAAAATATTTTTTAAAAAGTTGGGGGGGGGGGTGGAGCGAGGCTGGTGTCCCGTGGTGGGGGAGCGGATGTGCCACACGCAGTTCAGTGTTCAATCCCTGGTACCAAAAAATAAAAAAAATGGCAGGGGCAGGTGATGGATGCAGAGAGAAAGCAGAACCGTGGTCACCGGGCACGGGGCGGTGGGCGGGGGGCGGGGGATAAAGGGAAAACGGGGAGCTGGTGCGTAACGGGGACTGAGTTTCAGTCAGGAAGACAAAAAGTGTTCTGGGGACGGAGATGGAGACAGCTGCACACCATGAAAGCACCCAGATCACCGAGATTCACGCTGTGAGTGGTTCACACAGCAAATCCCGTGGTGTGCGTATTTTAACACACACACACACACACACACACACACACACAGCTGAAGCAGCTACTGGGACATAATTTTCTTGGGAGTCATTCAACCTGGAAGAATGTGGGAGAGACTGACCCTGATTTTCTATAGTCACCTGATTAATATCCCTTTTCAGCCAAGATACAGGGGGACGGAGGGACAGGGGCACTAGATAAGTTAAAGCATTTGAATCCTGCCCTAGTTCTATGCTTATCAGTTACAAGGATAATACTGAATTTTCATTTGGAGTGTAAGAAGGCGTTTCTGAGTCTGAAGAAAATTCTTAAAGCAAAAGCTAGTAAAGACCATCATAAAGGGTCGATTTTGAGACCACCAGCTGGTAGAAGGGGCCTTGATTCTTGGCAGAGGGGGTCCAGATATGGCAGCTGTTATTTTTTTTTAATATCTTTTAGTTGTCAATGGACCTTTATTTTATTTATTTATACGTAGAGCTGGGAAGTGAATCCAGTGCCTCACACGTTAGGCAAGCCGTATGCCACTGAGCCACTACCCAGCACTGTCTGTTATGTTTAACAGATAAATACTCATCCAGGGTTTTTGTGGGTTTTGTTTGTTTTTGCTGTTGTTTGGTTTGGTTTGGGTTTTTTGGTACAGGGAATTGTACCTCTTAAGCATTGAGCCACATCCCAACCCTTTTTTATATTTTATTTTGAGACAGGGTCTTGCTGCATTGCTTAGGGCCCCATTAAGTTGCTGAGGCTGGCTTTGAATTTGCAATCCTCCTGCCTCAGTCTCCCAAGCTGCTGGGATTACAGATGTGCACCACTGCGCCTGGCTCCAGGGTCATTTTAATAATCCCTCTGTATAAGATAACCAAAATCCAATGATAAGTCTCCCCGGACTCAGCTTTCATTTGAGGAGACAGAGAATGGCAATTTCCATGAGGGTGTCCCAGATTCTTGCAGTGTGTCAATTGTGATATGGCATTAGAAGAGTCATTGGTTTAGGATGAGATGGAATTTTTGTGGAGATAAGTACAGATTTATCCCTTGATTGATGAGCTTTCTATACATGTTAGTTAAAATCAAGGTCTTCCCCACTGCCCAAGATCCCGAAATTAGGGAAGTCAGACCATCCTTGGGAAGCTCAAGTTCAACATAAACACACAAAGAAGCATAGGTTGAAATCATCCCCTGAAAGCGGCAAAACGGCTAGCTGGCTGTGGAATCCGGCTGCAAGCTAGTGGATTAAATAGGTATTCATACAAAGGAATGTCTCTGATAATGCAGAGGCCGGTGAGCCATGCACAGTCTGAAACCTTACAGTCTGCAATTGCAGTGCATAGGACCCTGCAGCAGGTATGATGCAGCACGCAAAGCAAGCCGGTTTCCTTTACTGGTTTCATAAATCTCGACACGAAGGGATCCCACAGTGTGCGTGCTCTCAAAGGCTGGTTTCTGAACGCACCGGCCCAGAGCTAGACCCTGCCCTGCGGTCAATACAACAAGACCATAAACATAATAGTGTTGACACCTGCACGTCTGGGAAGTGTCCAAGTGTGAAAACTAGCCATGACCAGTTGCAGGCAAACATAGACAGCAGTTTGGTTTCTTGTAAGTTATCAGGAACACCAGACAATTACCAGTGAAAGACCCAAGGGTTTGGTGGTAAAATCCATCTATGGAAATAAACAACTAGGGCGTAAAAACAAGGATTTCTTCTTTGAGGTTCATCCACTGGTCTTTTTTATTGAGAATGGTCCATCACTGTGCTTTGCCCCAGTCATCCTCCATGCCTACACTCTGCAACAGAAAATAACTGGAGATCAGTACTTACCTTCCATTCCGTTATCTGCCTTGCCACGAATGCCTTCTGATTTGTACACGCCTCATGGAGTTGATTCAATTTTGATAGAACAATCTGGAGTTGTTCCTGGAGGAAAACATCAGGTGAGTGAAGTCTATTCAATTTGATTCCTCACTAGACACCTCCCGGGAATCCCGGCCTCTCACCCCAAGATGAGTTACAACCCCAATACTACTTATTGAGTCTTACACTGGGCCGGAGAGCACGCTGAGACTGGATGGATGGCAACATACTGATTTCCGTAGCCACCCTTAACAGTGGGTTAGGGAAGGGTTAAGCAACTCGCCCAAACCATAACCGGTGGACAGTGGAGCTAAAGTCCAGTTTCCTGTGGTGACCCAGGCCTGCACTACGGCCACCAGTCTTGCCAGGAAACACTGTACAGACACGGAAAAACTCTAAGAAACTTTATGAACCATAAGCTGAGCAAACACAGCTAATACCAGTGAACTTTGTAGGTGTATGGGTGAGTCGGAAGGAAAGTTGGGCTGGCCGCCAGCTGATGTGACTAGAAATGGCTACTGGAAAAGGGAGATTCTGATTTCTGAAGAACAACGTCACAAAACCAATTTGAAAGTACTTAGAGTCCATGTCCAGGGTTTAGGTTATGTTTCAAAAGGGTTTCTCATATTTCCACTGAAAGCAGTTAGAAGCTGACCCAAGCTGCTCGTGTGTAAGAGAACTGGCTCCTGTCCTCTCCCGGTCTGCCCCTTCACCCCCAGCGTCCTCAGGAAAGGCCTCTGTGTAACGGGTTGCCCTGGCTGTGCACCAGATGCTTTTCCAACTGAAATCCCTTCACACTTCACAAACCCTGGGTGTGTGTCATGGAGGGAGGGATCTGCTCTTTCCCTCAGATGGGAAAACAAAGGCATGAAGATCTTCAGTAACTTACCTAGAAATGCCCTTCTACTGAGCGCCAGAGCTAGGATCTCAACCTGAGGAGTCTGGCTCTGAGCCTTATTAACTGTCACCGTGTGCTGCTGCTCTTCTTCTCACTGGGTGGGGAAATAATTCAAACCTGAATGTCCCCATTAGTTACTGCCTGCAAGTGGACTTAAAGGAAGAGCTGTGCGTGTTCCGTGTAGTCAGGATCAACATGTCCTTTGGAAGGGCTTCCAACAAGTCTTCCTACACTGGAGGGGAGAACAAGGGGTCCCCCACCCGGAACAAGCCTTCCTCAAGCCTGGCGGGGCGGAGCGGGGAGGCAGCAGCCGGGCTGCTCCCTCATCATGCCACAGCGAAGGCTGCCTTCCTCCACGCGCTCTGGGCAAGACTCTGGGTGTCAGCCAGAGCCTCTGCCTCACGCCAACCCCACAGCCCAGGGTTTCTTCTATAATCCAGCTGGAAACTGCCCTCACTCTCTTTCTAACAGGGATCATTCAATTGCAGTCCTGGATATTCCTTTTATTTTAGCAGTGTCAGAGTGACCATGTCACTGACCCGTCAATCCTCAGATGAAAATCCCCGTGGAGGCACCACTCTGGCTGCTCGAGGACAGACTGGGCGCACAGTGCCTCGCACGCTACTTTTCAGGATAACATGATAAGAGCCATAGTTCAGGGTCCCAGTCTCAGGCTGGGGGAGCTGGCTCTCACTGAGGTGCCTGGGCCGCATGCTCACCTTGTAGACCTGGCATGCGTCTTCCACAAGAGTCGTGCTGTGCCCTGCATGCGCCGGGGCCCGCTCACAGCGCCAGCAGATGAGCTGGCCCTCGTTCTCACAGAAGAGGTGCAGCTGCTCGCCATGCTCTCCACACAGCTGCTCAAGGTCCATCTCCCCAATGACCTCAAGGAGGTTTTCCAGAACCTTGTTGGACCCGTAATTTGTCACAGGAAGTGAGATGCAACACAGAGGGCAGCAGAAGGACTTATGCCATCCTAATAGGTTCTGGGTGTTGTAGGACCACGGGAGGCATGTGCTGCAGTAGCTGTGTCCACAGCTGATGGTCACAGGATGGGTCATCAGGTTCTTGCAGATGGGGCAGGTGGCTATTTCTTTCATCTTCTTTGTGAATGAGGCAAGGGCCATGGCTTTTGTTGAGAAGTTCTGGTGGTAGATATGAAGCAGCCAGAATTTTCCAGGGACGGAAACACACCACAGCTGAGCCTAGGTACAACGTACTGGATGTTACTGGCCTTCACTGGTCTAAAAAGAAGAAGCAGATTGGAAATTAGAAGATGCATAAAGATCTAGCGGCGTTGTCCAATATGATACCAAGATCATGTGTGGCCATTTAAATTTAACTTAATGAAAATTTAATACAACTTAAATCCAGTTTCTCAGTCTTCCTCGGCACATTTTAATTCTGTAATGGCTGCATGGAGTGGCTGCCTGACCACGCAGACAGAGAACATTTCATCACAGTGGAAAGTCTGAGGTGGAGACAGGCCCCCTCACAGGATCTGTAGGAAGAGCAGGGAATCAGAGCGGCTGTGGGGACACTTCCTTATTCTAGTGGGTGCCAAGAACCGGTTCAGAATCCTCTTCTAACTGGTAGTGACACTCAGGTGGTCTGGCAGGACTTATTTCATTGAGGTGATCAAATCTGAGTCCACCCCACAAAGATGGCTGGTCATGGGGTGAACACGTCCCAGGGGAGACCAAACCAGGAAGGTGATAATGTAAGCAAGGCAAGCAGAAGAACTGGTTCCTCTTTTTGTCCCCCCTCCCCTGCCCACCTCATAACTGAGGGAAAAAGCAGAATGAGCGCCAGGGAGGGGAGGTTTAGTCCTATGCCTGACAACCAGGGACATGCCTGTCTTTTCCGGGTCAGAGTCTGACTCCAGGAGAAGCCCAGTCCAGGATATAGGGAAGGTGGTGGGCAGGGCAGGCCACAGTGGGACCCAGGGTGTTGGGCCCCCTTCCGTGCATCACTGAGCAGGTTATGACCAGAGGAGAAGGGGGAGTGACTAGGAGCAGCATCAGCCCCCTGGGACCCTCCTTTTCCCGTGTAACCCACCCACCACCAGGGGTACGCTGCTGGGTGGCAGCAGACAGGAAGTTCGGATAGTGACTTTTCCTCTGAAACTGCAGTACCTGGAATTAAAAACAGGAATTCTACTGAAGCTAAATGGGCTGTCGTCCTTTCAGAACCAGGACCTGCCCCCTAGAGCCCTGCGGGATTTCTTCCCAGGATTTCTACCTTGGCCGTCGGGCCGTCTGGCCGCTAGAGGCGCTCTGCCCGCGGGAGGAGCGACTCCTGCTCCCAAGGCCACGGTGCACAACCTGGGCCTCAGTGCCCCTGACACCGGGAGTTTCCGAGCCTCGGTGCGAAGCGGGAGGGAGGGAAGGGGAAGCAGAGGTAGAAAAAGACAGCGGTGGGGGCTGTAAAGCAAAGTCGGGAGCATTGCTGGGTTCCGCTGTCAGGAAACGCATCCCCCGCCCCGCCACTCACCACACTTCCCAGCACAGACCATCCCCACCCAGAGGACTCTGGCCGGGACCTTCCACCAACTCGGGTAATGGCTGCCCGTCCTTCGGAGCGGCCGCTTCCCGGACCCGCCCAAGTCAGATCCGAAGTGAAACTAACGCGAGAGGCGGGGCCGAGGGTTGGGGCCAATGGGGCTGCCCTATCTTTTGCAGTCGGCTAGTCCTGCCAGGGCGGGGAGGAAATGGGGAAGAAAAGAGCTGCTTTTCAAGTGAACCAGAAGGAACCAACTGGCAATCCCATAAACTCCCTGGTGACCCAGCACACAGTGTTTGGGAGCCTGCAGAGGGTTAGCTCCCAGACCTGAGAGGCCTTTCCACGTGTGCTGCCAGCCCTTTCGGGAGTCCATAGGCCTCCTGACCAGTGTCATTTCTTTGCTAACCCTGGTCACTTACTGTTTTACAACTGCCTTACTGGGGGTGGTGGGAAGGCTGGGCCCGTTGGCACCGCCACCTTCTCCCAAGTCAGCCTCCATCCTTCTCGGCCTTGTGGTCATGTCTCCTTGTCCACCTCAGCAGCCCCTCTGCAGGACTCGGGATGCTTTTCTACAGCCACAGACAGTCGCCCAGGACAGGCAGCAGGAGCCGCTCAGGGAAAGGGCCCCCGCAGTGGGTATCTTCCTCTTCTGCAGTGCACTGTGGCCCTGAGGGACCATGGCTCTGCTCTGCACACTGTGAAGAGGCTGCTGGGATGGGGTCAAGTCCTGAGCCATTCAACTCCAGCTCCTCCATTTCAAAACCAGTGTAAAAACACTATAGCCACCCAAGGTACAAAAATTACTGAGTGAAAATAATAGAGGACTACTACATTGGAATGCCACCTTGTTGCATTTGTAGCCTGAGGTGTAAGAGGCGTTTGTAAGTGCCCAATAAATGCTTACTTAAGAAAAAAACATGCATGTGATGGATCACAGGCACTGGTGAAGGGACTGAGGACACAGGAGTTAAACTGGGATTTGGGGAGCCACCAGGGCCAACTCTAAGCCCTGGCTCATCAGGTGACAACCCTGATGGCCACCCAGAGGTAGTGCTGGGGCAACAGATTGCAGAGGAAGCAAGGAATTCTGTGTGGCCACAGTCTTGGTCCAGCAGCTCAGACTAGACACAGAGTGAAACAGGTTCTTCTCTTCCACCCCAAACAGGAGATTTTTTTGGCTCTGAGCCATCCTGGGTTTTGCTACGCAGTGATCCATCCTACCCTGGAGAGTCCTGTGGAGCAGACCCCAGACACATCATATGGAATATCAACTCCCCAGCCACTGGTGCACAGCAATGGGAGAATGAGCCCCGAATTCCTGAGCCCAGGGTGCTCCTCGCAGACACCCATGACTTTGACTACTGTTGATGTGGCTCTGGATTCTTGTACTCTGCATCCCAAATTTGACCTCCCAAAAGATTAAAAAAAAAAAAAAACACAAAAAACTGTGAAACACAAAATAACATACCACCACCAACAGCAGCAAGGCAGAGTCTGTCTTGCGGCAGCTGTCCTCTCTGGCACCTGTGTTCTGTGGCCTGAAGGAGGAGGAGCCGGCTGGTGGTGAGAGCAGCAGGACTGGGGCACCTGGGTGCCGATGGGCCTTCAGGGATGTGCGTCTCCAAAGCCAGGCCTAGGAAGACCAACAAGAGCCCACCCAAGGGGGCATACCATCTGTCTCTGCCAGCCTGAGATGCAGGACCGAGACCCAGCCTGGGGAGTGGGTCCCCAGAGTCTTCCTTTAGACCCTGAACTGAGTGTCTGTCTATGGGGAGGAGACATCCTGTAACAGTGGTCCACCGCATACTTTGAATGTAGCCCTTGCTGCTCTGCCACTGAGACTTATTTTAAAATGGACATTTTTTTTTTCCTCTTCTTCCTCTCCCTCTCTCTAACCTGGAGGAGGGAAGAGAATTACCTTTTCCCATCCTAGGCAGAGTTATCTGTCCTTGAGCACACACCCTCCACAGGAACCAAGTAATTCAGACTTCAGGGATGGCGTCAGAAGATCTAGGAATGGCTATCTCCCGAGTCAACAATCGACTCACCACCCACTGCTGACAACTGTGCCTCCTTCAGTCCTCTCAAGCCTCGGTTTTCTTCCCATGAAAGTTTTCACTTATGGATCTTGCTTGTTGCTTGCCTCCCCTGTGAAAACACAGGTTCCAGAAGAGCAGGAATTGTGATCCATATTGTTCACTGATGAATCCCAAATGTCTAGAAGCTTCCAGCATAGTGATATGTGCTAAATGTAAGAGCAACTTTCTGACTTGCACTCTGTTAGCTTTGCATTGCTACGACCAAAAATGCCCGACACCAGCGACTCAGAGGAGGGAGGGTTCGTGTTGGATGCAGTGTGTCCCCTCCGTGGTTTCAGAGGTTTCTGTCCAGGGTCTCCTGACTCCCAGTGCTCTGGGCCCAAGGTGAGACAGAGCATCATGGCCACTGGGCAGGGCCAAGGAAAGCTGCTCAGCTCCTATCAGCAGGGAGGCAGAGAGAGAGGAAGGGGCCAGGGACAAGATATAGATACCAAGGGTACACCCAAGGGACCCACTTTCTCCAATAAGACCCCCCCCCTACGGTTTCCACGTCCTCCCAGTAGTAAGTTCAGCTCTTAATGGATTGATGCACTGATGAGGTCAGAGCCCTCATGATCCAGGCACTTCCCCAAAGCCCCACCTCTGGACATGGCTGTGCTGGGGACCAAGCCTTCAGCACAAGAGGCTCTGGGGGGCACATTGCATCTAAGCCATAACAGGCACTGAAGTCTCATTTGGGAACTATGCACACAGCTGTGACTACTGTGTGCCACATGGTTTGCCTGGGCTGAGTGGCTACATGCTCTGCATGTGTGTGCATGTCAGGGTCAGCGTGGCACATGGGATCAGAAAGTACTAGAATTTATGGTGGTTATTGTTACACATAGTAGTTGGGTCCCTCTTTGACACAATCATGCACTCACAGAATTTGATTTAAATCCCCATTCCCCATCTTTCCCTCCCCTCCCACCTCCTCCATTCTCCTGACTCTATGCCCACTGACGCTCCTTTTGCTTGTTTATTGATTTTCAATTGGTCCTTTCTAACTACACACAAAGGGAAATCCCCTGTGGTACATTCATATGCATGGTATAGGAATGTGGTGTACATATAGTATGGTTTGCTTAAATCCATCCCACATTTTCTCCCCTTTCCCATGGTCCTTGCTCCCTCTTAATCTCCTTCTTCTACGCCACTGATCTTTATTTTTGTGATATTCCATTCTATCTACCCCCCCCCCGATCCTGGTAAAACTCTCTGTATTAGACTCTACTTTGTGGTTGTTTTTATTGTAGCCACTTCTGTGGGGTTTTTTTTTGTTTTGTTTTGTTTTTCTCTGTTTGAATCATACCTATTTTTGTATATTCATTTTTAACTTATTTGTATATTTTAGTTAGTGTTTCTATTTTAGAAAGCAGATATTCAATTTTTGCATTTTAAAATTCATTCTAATGATCTTTGCCCCACCCCCTTTTTTTAAAGAATATTTACACCACTAACGTTTAACATCAGTGTTTATTTTTTTCCCATCGTACCCTGGCTAGCATCTCCTTATAACACTGAACACAAAGAGTGATAATTGACCTCCTTGCTTCATTCCTACTCTGGGGAGAAGGGACACCAGTGGGAAAAGCTTTCAATAATTTATTGTTTCTTATTATTATACTTTTTTCCCCCCTGTATTTAAAAAAAATCATTACACTTTGCATGGATTATTAGAATATATTTTGCGATACTCCTAGAAAATGCCCTAACTGTCCCTCTGGATTTTCCCCTTGCCTCTTTAGGGTTTTTCATGACCTACAGGAGGGGCATTTCATCAAGGGGTTTTACATTACTTCTAATGCCTTCTGTCTGCTAACACATTTGCCAGTAGATGGCGCTCTCCTACTTGTCTTTATTGTGTTTTTATTATAGTTCATGAGAGTTACAATAATAGTGGGGTTTATTTTTACATGATCATGCATGCTTGCTGTATAATTTGCTCCACTTCAGTCACCTGTGCTTTCTCATTCCCTCCCCTCCTCCCTCTCCTAGCTTCTCTTCCTCTACTCTTCTGGTCTTCCTTCTATTTACTAATAGTTTTTTAAATTGGTGCTTTATAGACATACAGAATATGGAATTCTCCATGGTTATTCATGTATGTGCATGATCTGGTCAGTTCCATTCCACTGTTCCTCCCTTTTCCTGTTCCTCCTCCCTCCCCCTCAATCCCCTTCTTCCACCCCACTGGTGCCACTTCTAATTTCATGGTATCCCTCCACTTTTTGCTTCCACATATGAGAGACAATATTCAACCCTTGACTTTCTGAGTCTGGGTTATTTCATTTAGCATGATGGTCTCCATTTCCATACATTTACCAAAAGTTGCCATAAAATCATTCTTCTTTACCGTTGAGTAAAACTCCATGGTGTATATACACCACATTTCCTTGATCTGTTCATTGGTTGAAGGGTGTCTGGGATGGTTCCATATCTTGGCTATTTTAAATTGTACTGCTATACACATTGTAGAGGGTGCATCTATAGTAAGCTGATTTTAGGTATTGGATAAATACCAAGGAATAGGGTAGCTGGGTCATATAGTGGTTCCATTTCTAGTTTTTTGGGGAATCTCCATACTGCTTTTCAGAGTGGTTGTACTAATTTGCAGTTCCACCAACAATGTATAAGTGTACCCTTTCCCCCACATACTCACCAGCATTTATTATTATTTATATTCTTGATGATTGCCATTCTAACTGGAGTGAGATGAAATACCAGTGTCATTTTGATTTGCATTTACCTGTTTGTTGGAGATGTTGAAATTGTTTTCAATTGTTAGTCATTGAAATATCTGTTTAGTTTTTTTATCCATTCATTGATTGAGTTATTTGGGTGGGGGGTTAGTTTTCTTATTTGTTTATATATTCTGGATGTTAATCCTCTGCCGGAGTAGACGGCAAAGATCTCTAACATACCTATACACGTGCCCGCAGAGACAGAAACGTAGCTCTGAGAGTTCCATACAGATGCACATGCACACGTGTAGCTTTACCTCCAGAGTCTATCAATGTTGCTTTTTTTGTGGTCTTTTATGTTGCTGTTGTTGTTGTTTAATCTTACAGCTTTTTTACCACCTCAGTGGTTATCCAGCTAATAACTGAAGTTAACAGCAAATCTGGCCCAAACAATCTTACACAAATGTACACATAGACAGACTTATTTTAAGAAAATATTTGGGACAAAATGAGGTCCCTTCACATGTTCTATTTGCTTTACTTATTTAAAATCATGTTGCATTAGATAAAGGCGTTCACTTCAGATAACACGGATGTGACTTGTTCCTTTCATTGGTGCTTACTTTCCTGTGACCAGGATGGATCACAAGGTCTCATCTGGATGTGTTATGTAGTCTCCTGTTTATGGGTGTTTGGGAGAGTCCCAATTTGTCCTTCTATTTTTTTCCTTCTCCATTTCAATTTTCACTGAATGTTGTTTATGAATCTAGGGAGGATTGTATTTTAATGATAATGTTTTTCTGTCCACATATACAGTATGTAGTTTCATTTAGCCAGATCTTACTTAACATCCTTTAAATTTTTTTATTTTATTTTATTTTATTTTCTCTAAGTGACATTTTTCTTCTTCAAATAATGCCAACAAAATTATTGTTTTTTTTTCTGAGGGGATATTATAACTTCTTTCTATTTTTATTCTGGATGTTATTTCTACAGGTTAAAGCAATTGATTTTTTTTTTAATTTAGTTGTAGGAGAATACAATACCTTTATTTTATTTATTTATATGTGGTGCTGAAGATGGAACCCAGGGCCTCACAAGTGCTAGGCAAGCGCTTTGCCGCTGAGCCACAACCCCAGCCCTAAAGCAATTGATTTTTTAAAAAATATTTATCATGTTTCCAGTCAGTCCACCAAATCCCATTTGTACCTTTGTACTTTAATCCCCGCTAGTGTTGAACAACTCTAGTTTCTCACACCAAGCCAGTGGCTTTGCTCTTTCTGGAAAGCCCTTCCCTACGCAGGGACTCATTCCCACCTCCTGGGAAGGCAGGGCCTGGCCGCCTGGGTCCTTCCTCGGCCTCCTACACCCTGAAGGCTGCCTTGCGTCTGGTTTCCCTGTGCATCCTGGTTGTCTGTTTGGGATATAGTCTCACCCTGGGGACTTTGAACTCTCTGGAGTCATGGGCCAGGTATTAAACAAATTGATATTTTCCAAAGTTAGCGCCATGTCTAGAACAGAGCAAATTTTAAAAATAAATAAATGAAAGTGTGGAATTGAACTGTCCTGGTCGAATACAGCCATGAATGTTGGGTCAGAGAAAACTAAAGTTTTCAGGATCTCTGAATTTTACTGCTTTGTTAATTCTTCTTCTTCTCCTTTTTTTTTTTTTTCAAACAAGGGATTAAACCCAGGGTCGATTAACCCCTGAACCATATCCCCAGCCCTTTTTATGTTTTTTGTATTGAGAGAGGGTCTTGGAAATTTGCTTAGGGCCTCACAAAATTGCTGAGACTGGCTTTGAACTTGTGATCCTCCTGCCTCAGCCTCCCAATCTGCTGGGATTACAGGTGTGTGTCACCAAGTTGGGCTCTGCTCTGTTACTTTTGAGGTTTATAATGTAACACATACGACAAGTTCTCTAAGAGTATAACTCACTGAGTTGATTCAGCAACACTTTGCTATGTGAAAATCATGATGAGTGGTGAGGGGTTTGAACCAATTTCAGAAATTTGATTCTTGATAGTGACTGTAACTCCAGAATAAGTTCACTCTGTAATCCATTATTTATTGAACTCATACTGTCTATTTAGGTTGCTATGAAAAATTACCACAAATTGGATGGCTTTATAAACAACGCACATTTGTGTCTTATGGTTCTGGAGGTGGGAAGTCCAAGATCAAGGTACCCACAAACTAGTGTCTGGTGAGGCCTGCTTACTTATTTGTCCTCACATGACAGAAAGGTTGAAGGAGTTCCCTTGACACTCTTTCAAAGGACACTAATCCCATTTATGAGGATTCTGCTCATGACAAGAACTTATCCTCCTGATACCACTACCTTGTGCATCAGGATTTTAGCATATGAGCTTTGGGGTACACAAACATTCAGACCTTAGCACATACTATAAGCCAGATGCTGTGCCAGGAACTGTGGATGGTAATTCTAAGAATACACCATATCCCTTCAGGTAGCTTGCAGAATTCAGTCTCAGGACTGCACTACTCAAACAAAATGTTCAACTTGAAGAATGTGCTCTGAATCTTCCTTGTGACACTGAACACTTTAGACCACTCTTTTTGTGGCAAGCAAACTAATGCTCCCAAAGATGTCCACATGCTAATCCCTGGAAACTGTACATAGATTACCTGTGTGACCAAAGGTGCTTCATGTGTGTGATTTATTAAGGATTTTGAGATGGGGAGATTACACTGGATTTTATGGTTAGCTCCATTTAATTAGGGTCCTTATGAGAGGGAGGCAGGAGACACAGCATGAGAAAGATTTGAAAATGTTTTGCTGTTTAGCTTCAAAAATGGAGGAAGGGGCCAAGAGTCAAGGGATGTGGGTGACGACAAGGATCCAAAAAGAGGGAGATGGATTTTCCCTTAGAGCCTCTGGAAGAAGCATGGTCCCGTTGACACCTTGAGTTTGGTCCAGTGAAACCTATTTTGGACTTCTGACTCTAGAATTGTAAGAAATTGATTGAATTGTTTTCAATCACTAAGTTTGTAGCAATTTATTAAAAGAGCAATAGAAAATTCTTAAATTTCTACAGGATGCAAATAATCCCAACTAACTAGTAGTCTTTCTTGGGGAATACGGCAAGAGTAGCTGTGGGGGGGGGGTGGGAATTTAACTCAGGAAGTTTGAAATTAATAAAGGCTCAGAGGGCAGGTCCCCACCCCATTTTATAAGGGTCAGGAGTCAAACTAGGAAGATACAGTAGCAAAAACAGTCCAAAAATTAAGAAGCATAAATAAGACACAGATCCAAGCATCAGGAGTCGAGCAGACAGACAAGAAGCCGGAAGGACAGCGGGGGCAGCTTCAGGGGGAGTTATCAGAGCGACCCAGCTCACATCTGCCAGCCCATGGGCACAAACGCTTCAGGAAAGTCTAGCTGACTTAACCATATGGGGCCGAGGAGGTCTTCGGCCAGTTAGCCAGTCATTTCTTTTGTCCAGGAACCTCTGCGACGGCATATTTCAACCCTGGCTTCAAGGTTATGTGAATTCTGCAGAGTCACCGGAGACACTAGGAAGAGAAGTGGGGTTGGCTTCTCAGTCCTGCCTCAGAATCCAGCTCCTTGGCAGCCCCCCACCCTTCAGGACAGGCCTGTTGATGGGATGGCTGCATACTCAGCACAGACCTGAACAACACGGTGACGTCTTTTGAGTGACAACCTGAAAACAAAGTTAAAAATTAAGAGGCAAAGCCAAATCCAGCCTCTCTGCTCCAAGATCCCAGGGTCAAACCTGGTGCTGTCTGCCACGTGACTTATTATTTATCCCTGTGAGGCGCCTGGGTGTGAAAGGGAATAGGGGATGGGAACTCCCTCTTTTTTTAAGCCAGCCTTAAAGTCTGGGGCTTAAAATACTGGTTTAATGGTGAAGGTAAGTGCTTGTCTTCTTTGGGGGGAAGGATGCTACTTTCCAATCTATCAGAGATCCACTAGAGAGAGGGAACTATTTGAGGGAACCTCGGAGGAAAGACATTAACAGCCACCTAAGAGTCTGCGTTTGAGAATGGTGTCTGGTTCCAAACTGAGGAAGGAACCTTCTGAGAGGGGTCATGAGTCGGTCAAGACCCCAGAGCAAGGCTTAAGGGAACACTGGTGCAGATGGACACAGTGGACGTGGGTCACTTCCCTGAGGACTCCGTGAGTATTGACTGTGGCACCCCAATGAGTCGGGCTGAGTGGATGGTGAAAGAAACAGTGGATCAGAACCAGCGAGGTTGGGTTGGTGGCCAACGAGCTTTTCCAGATTTCTACATGTATTTGAAATTGCCTCTCAGGAGAAGGAGGAAATGACTGAAGTTGTGAATAGGCATGAAGGCAAGAGAGCGTGTGGATGCTTCTAGAAGTCCCTGGTGTGCTGCCCACCATGCGGCTGGGAAAAGGTGCCCAGAGAGGTCATGGTTACCGGCAGTGGGCTGGAAGCCTGGAGTCGGGGTGCAGTGCAGTGCCGTCTCCCAACCTACCCCAAGAAAACCCCGATTCTAAAGCAGGGCCCTGGCTGGGGTGGGGGCAGGGGAGGGCAGGCTGTGTATCCTGCAGTGCGCTGAGCCTGGGCCTAACTCGCCTTCCTGTCCCCCGCGGAGGGGGCTCAGCACACTTTTTCTTTTGTTGTGATGAAATTCATGAATGAACGGACAGTGCAACAATGATATGCTGTCAGAAAGGTTCTTTCAGAAGCTCTATTCCCTCAGCGAGGTCCGCGGGTGGTGAGGGGGAAGGATTCTCCTCCTGGCGCGGCCTCTGACATTAGTGCAAGATAACGCCCTCCCCGCCCATCTTCTGGACTCCAGGCCAGGAGAACCCACTTTTAACAGAACAAGTTTAAAACCAAGTCAGCAACCCGTCAAAAGCACTTGTTCATGAGTGCGTTTTATCTGCCCGACGGCTGCACTTCTCAGGGACCTGAGGGGCCTGGTGCTGATGCTGAGGTGCTGGTTGATGCTGCCGAGATCCACACCAGGAGCCTTCCCAGGCGGGATGCTCTGCGGCGCACAAGGCGTGTCTCTTACCTGGGCTTAACTCTGACAGTCCTGGGAAGTCATAGCCTTCCCTACTTTTCCTACGGAGCAGTGAGAGCTCTCGGAGCTTATGAAACTCGCCCTGGTTTGCAGGCTGGGAACAACAGAGGGGAAGTCACTCTGGGCACCCTGAACTGCAGGTTGATGCTCTTTGAACTTCGCGTTGCATTTACTCTGAGTAAACCAGGAGACTCGACTAACAGATGGCGCAACCCAGGCTGCATGTTACGGGACTTCTAAGAGTGGGAGAAAGACTATGATAGCCAAATAATGATTCGAGACTAAGAGGAAGAGGAAAAAGGTATTCTTTAGCCTACGCGAAACCGTAAGATCTATATCACCAATTTTATCTCTCTGTATACCCTGGGCTGTGTCATAGTATTATTTTATATAGATATAATTTTCCTTTAATTTCTCTTCAGTTTCCCTCTTGGTACTCACAACGTTGACACTAGGAGTCATTCTTTTGTTTCCAAAGTGTCCCTCCTGAATGGGAAGGTCCTTCACAAAACCACATGTGCTCAATCGTCTGTAGTGAGACGGAGCATTATTTCACTGTCTTTTAGGGCACATCAGTCAGGCCGGGGCTCAGAACCCATATTTCTCAAGCTGCTGGGATCACATTAGAAAGACGGTTTTCATTACGATCCACAGAAAGATTCCGCTTGAGAATGGGGCTGTTTGCCTGATTTCTGTATTTGTCTCATTCAAAGGAAACAAAAGGTCGACAACTGAAAGCCATTAAGGCAAGATTCAAAGTGATATTTAGAACCATAAAAGCTACATAGGGCTTCCCCCCACCCTTTGACGTCAAAGGGGGATGGGAAGGAAGACCTAAGTCATGCGTTGTGTGTTATGATTCCACCACCTTAGGAAACACAAGAAAATGTAGTGTTGTTTTTTTTTAATTAAGCTCTTAAAGTATTTTTCATCATCAAATTTCTTTCTGAAATAAATTTTTAAAAGTTGATTTAAAATTTATAGATTTCGATTTAAGATGCCTCAAAATGAAGATACCCTACTGTGTTTTAAGCTTATGGTTAAAATAGTTAGACTATAAAAAGAAAGAGTATTCACAGGTAAAAGCAGCAGCCGGGCCTTTAGAAACCCGACAGGCTCTGAACTGTGTGGTTTCGGGAATTTTCATGCTGTCTGCACCTGTTTTTTCATCAATAAAATGAATATTTGGGACAGAAAATCTCTGAGTCCCTTTTGGCTCCAAGTTTATAAAGTCCCTGAGGAGCTGGGGAAGCTGAGTGGACACAGCGGTGGGTGGGTGCAGTGCACTGCTGCCTCCAGCAGGTCCTGGGGTCTTCAGAACCAGACAGGTCCAGGAGGAGATGTGCAGACTCCAGCTCTGCACCCAACAGCTCCAGGTGAGCCTCACAGGGCCGCGCGGAAGGCTGCAGGGCCCAGGGCACCTAACCCTCAGCCAACGCCGGAAGCCTTCAGGTCAGAGCAGTGGCCACCTGTAGGTGCTGCTCTGCTCCGGCCAGAAGTTGAGCCTCCACTTCTGTCCATCCTAAGCAAACAGGAAAATCTGAAAACTTAGAGGGGGAGTCATGCTACTCAGACTTATAGAGAGATCTGCCTTAAAGACTACTCTTCTGTCCATGGGATGAAGCCTAAATTGTTTTAGAAATAAATTTAGTTTCTTCTGGGTATTAAGTGGATATCTACTAATTATTAGAAAAACTTGGTATATATGGAAAATCAGAAGCAATAAAGTGACCGTCTTGCTCTGAACCTCAAGAACAGCCTCTGGAAACTTGTGTGAACCTGTTTCTGTATACGTGACCTGCCAATTCTTATTGTTAGGTTAGTTTATCTCCAATATTCTGCTGTCACAACTAATACTGCAAAGGATAGTTTTGAACAGAATTCTTCACCCGTATCGTTCCTTAATTTCCTGTATCCTAAGGTCGTAGGTTATGAACTTCGGTAAAGATGCGGATAAGTCTTTTAAAGCAGGAAGAGAGCAAACCTCAAATCATGAAACATAAATACAATACTGTTTTTTTTAAAAAAAAGTCATGGCAGAAGTAGTTCGAGGAAGAATGGAAAACTAGCAATACCTTCAGGATGGGGGATTTTCCTAGAAGAAGCAGATGTATACACCCCCAAAGAGAGTTTAGTACACAAACATCAAATTAAACAGGTCCATTTGGACTCATGAATTTTCTTTGCCTGTCAAAATGACTGAATTTTAAAATAATGTAGTAAAAAATTCCCATTCGGTGTAATTTTGTAAGTGAAGGAGGATCTTGTCAGCCCAGTAAAGTGTCCAAATTGTGTGAGGCACACAACATTTTTTTAATATATTCATATATATACACACATATATATTAGTTATAGTTGGAGACAACACCTTTATTTTATTTATTTATCTTATGTGGTGCTGAGGATTGAACCCAGGGCCTGGCACATGACAGGCGAGCGCTCTACTGCTGAGCCCCGACCCCAGCCCCAGCACACAACAGTTGGAACCTTTAGGTGTCTGACAGGGAAGTGCCGTGCAGCTCCCTGCTTCCTGTTCAAAGGGGAGGCCACGGAACATGCTCTATTATCCAGAGGGAGCGGAAGCGAGGTCTGAATGGAAGAGAAGCCTGCTCGGCACCTGCTCCTCAGCTCCCTGGTTGAACTGCACTTCTTTCCTGAGCTGCTGCAAGTTGCACTCTCACCTTTGCCTGGTTCTCTGGGGCTCCATAAGTCATCTGTGGTTTTCCTCCTTTATTCCTGCAGCACCATTCAGCAAGGAGCCTCCTCATTCCTGAGCAGATGAGGAAATGGATGGGGACAGAATTGAGGGAGTGACTGGGGATATCCAGCAGCCTGACTTCCTTATGAAATCCTGTCCTCCTAAAGCAGAGCAGGAGCGCACCCAGAAATCAGGTGGCTGTGTAGGGACCGCACCTGCTGCTGGTGCCCAGAGGTGGCAGGTTAGTGGGAGGAAATTATTTGTGTGTCATGTCTCGGCTCCTGTTCTCCCTACAGATAGAAGCTGGTCGTGGTCTCAGAGATTCAGGGAAGAGGGACGCCCCACCACTAAGCAAGGCATTGTTGCCAGAGGAGCTAGATGGACCAGAAGCCGACCTCCAGGAAAGGTGAGCCAGGCTCTGATCCCAGGTTGCAGGAGACGGAAGCCTTCCTGGAGCACTTCTCACTCCCTCCTCTCCCTCCCCTCCGGTCCTTTCCCATCGCCCCCCCCCCCCGTGTGGACCCCCATGTAGCATCAGACCCAGCTCCAGCCCTGATTCCTGTTGCTTTTCCTTAGAGAGCCCCTTAGATTAGCTGCCAGAAATTGCATCACATGATGGATAAGTTATAGGATCTAAAGAATGAAATGCATCTTGGAAACGTTATTTTTAAGCCAATTCCTAACCTCTGTGGACATCCCCCCCACCCCACCCCAGAATACCCTTGCCAAGTGGCTGGCTGTTTCCCAGAGCCAGCCTACAGTAATGTGGGAATAATCCATTGCAGGCAATTAATCCTATCCTAAGCCTATTTGGCCATTAAAATTTATTTCTTCTTTTATTTTTTATCTGTTTCTTTATAGATTCTCTCTATTTTCCTTTACTCCCAGTTCTTTAAATATGCAAATAATAATAATAATAAAAAATTCTGACCCATCCTTCACATGAGAATCCTCCTAATATTGGGCCATTGTTCCACTTCATGGGAATGATGAATTTTTTTTTATTTTTCATTTTGAGACAGAGTCTCACTAGGTTGCTTACAGCCCCACTAAGTTCCTGAGGCTGGCTTCGAACCTGAGATTCTCCTGCCTCAGCTTCCCAAATTGCTGAGATTACAGGCGTGAGACACCACGTCCAGTGGGAGTGTTTTTTAATGTTACTTTTGCTTCAAAAAATGGCTCTACACGTTAATTATTTATTTTAAAAGCTAAATCCATGTGAAGCCAGGGCTTAGTGATATACAGCAAAAATGTATACCTAATGGAGGGAGTGGAAGTCCCCTATCTTCTCTCATATGTAAAAAGAGAATCCTTGGCTGTGCACCCAGCTTAACCCAAACGCAGCTGTCAATGCATGAACGGGCAAACGTTATAACACACAAATGTGCATAGCAGATGAGACAGACCATGGACTCATGACTCAGGGACTGGGGTTCCGTGCTTGGCTCTGCACTGTCTTCCCATGCACTTTGTCTTGGAGCTCTGTGAATGCTGTACTTGGGGTTTGTGTCATGTGCTTCCCACATCTCTGAAAGAAGGCTCATCCCAAGATCCCAGATTCATTGTCATGAAGCCAAAGAATATGACAAAGGAAGACTGCAGAAAGGATCGTCTCGGTGGAAAGGACATGGGGTCGTCTGATATCTGGATTTCCTTCTGACTTAGCCAGGAAAGAAATGGGGAGAAGGGTCTCAGTCAGGGTGCTCACTGCATGTTCTTCTGTCTAGGGCCAGATTTCTGTTCACTGCGCTACGGGCTGGCTCTCATCATGCATTTCTCAAACTTCACCATGATAACCCAGCGGGTCAGTCTGAGCATCGCCATCATCGCCATGGTGAATGGCACCCAGCAGCATGGTCCATCCAATGCCTCCACCCAGGGGCCTCTGGCAGACACCCTCCACAACCCAGGCAGATCCGCCAGGGAATTTAATACTAGGGTAAGTGTGACGGAGAGCAAGGCTCTTTGTTGAGGAGAAAAAAAAAATAACTGAAAGGAAGGCTTGGGTCTTCATGCTGCAGAGTATGGAAATATGAACTTTAATGACAAAGTAAAAGGAACTGGAATTATTTTTGAGACATTGATTACTTCTGTGATAACAATAATCTTTCATTCTTCTTTTTCTTCTCCTCCTCCTCCTCCTCCTCCTCCTCCTCCTCCTCCTCCTTCTTCTTCTTCTTCTTCTTCTTTTTCTTCTTCTTCTTCTTCTTCGGTAGAGGAGATGTAGGAAAATATGTAAAAGACTGTAAAATGGAACAAACAGACTACGGGTATCCTCCTCAGTGGAAAACCGCTGTCTACATGCCTCCTTCTGGGCTAGCCAATTGGATTTTGATATCTGCACCTTTCACTGTTCTTAAGTTATTTTGCAGCTCTGCAGTTATATACAGTGAATAAAAATGCAAATGCTTCTTGTCTATAGCTTTGCAAATGAATTCTGTCCTGTGGAGAGTCACCTTGTACACTCCTCCTCTCAACAACCCCCATCTCACCCAGTTGGATAAACCAGTTTTGCCGTCTATTTAAAATCCATTTCAAAATGACTGCCCACTTTAATATGTGTGGTTCTTTGAATCTTCCTTTGAACGAGTTGTAACTGCTTACTGATACCGTCATTGATCAGTGAGTTAAATATAATCTGTGTCACAGTGCATTTTATATTTGTATGAGAATCATGATTCTACCAGTTTTAAAAACTATTCTTCAAACTATCCTTTACTGAATGTCATTCCTGCAATTCACAATTCATAATGTGATTTCATAATGACATTGGACCTAGAGTGACTGTAATTACCTCCCTACCTCTAGTCTTTCCATCACCCATTCTACCGCTTTCCTGTGCTCAGGACTTTCAAGAGGACAAATGCCTGCTTCCTCCAGACACGCTGTGCCTCTCTAGAACTTGGTCCTCAGTCTCAGTGTGCTCTCCTCTCTGCTGCCTGTGGCCCAGGGAAAGTCTGGGCTGACTCTGCCACCATCCCTTAGTTTCTGATCTCATGGCATCGTTACAAATGCTGCAAGCCTATTTTTGCTGTTTTATCCAATAAGAATCAATTTTCCTTTTTCTCTTCATACAAAATTTATAGTCATTCTTCAAAGAACAGTTCAAAGACTGCTTCCTTCCTGGGCCTTCCCAAGTAATTCTTCCCTTTTCTCAAAGATCCCATTTTATTTATTTCAACCTCAAATATTAATTCTAACATGAATCATATACCTGTGCTATTTCTGATTATTTTATATGAATACAATATTTCTAATATATATATTTTTTTGGATACTGGGGGTTGAACCTAGGGGCGCTTAACCACTGAGCCACATCACCAGCCATTTTCTTTTATTTTTTCTTTGAGACAGAATCTCACTAAGTTGCTGAGGCTGCCTTTGAACTTGTGATCCTCCTGCCTCAGCCTCCCAAGCCGCTGGGATTACAGGCGTGCACGACCGTGTCTGGACAATGTTTTTTATTTTATATTCTTTGTCTATTTAATTTATAATATGATGCCATCCATGTATCTAGTAGACAACCAAAAATTGTTCACTGAGTTATATTAGAAGAAAAGTGTGATCTTCTACATTTGTAAAGTGTGTTCGGAATTTGGCTCTTCTAGGGCAGACTCTAATTTCCTAACTTGATAATTCTTTTTAATTAGGGGGTTATTTTTTGTAAGAGTTTATTAGACTTGTGTTTATATTATTCTTTCAAAGGAGAGTTGGTGTCACTCAGCTTTTACAGACTAGTTTAAAGGAAGCTCTGAGTTAACAGGTGAATTGCATCTTGGCCACTCTTTCCATTTCCTTCTTCCCATCTTCATGTGGGTGACTGTTGACCTTGGTCTCTGATTTTCTCTCCTTCTAAGAGAAGCTGACTAGAGGTGAAAAGGTGGAACCTGTGAATTAGGTTAAAGAGAGAGAGAGAGAGAGAGACATAGGTATTTTACTGTAGGGTCTCACCTACCCCAGGAGGCTCTGACTATAAATAGACTTTCATGAAAGGACCTTGTAGCAAGGAGTTTTCTTTATTCTTACTTATTTATTTATTTGCTTTCATCTTTTTTTCCAGGCCTCTGTGTATCAGTGGAGCCCAGAGACTCAGGGCATCATCTTTAGCTCCATCAGCTACGGGATCATCCTGACTCTGATCCCAAGTGGATATTTGGCGGGGATCTTTGGAGCAAAGCAGATGCTGGGTGCCGGTTTGCTCATCTCTTCCCTTCTCACCCTCTTCACCCCGCTGGCTGCTGATGTCGGAGTGATCCTGGTCATTGTGGTCCGGACAGTCCAGGGCATGGCCCAGGTATCCAGATGCTTGCTCATTCTGAGTGGGGTACAGATTCCCAGTTCTGCGAAAGAGCAGAAGTCATACCGCTTTTCGTTGCAGGGAATGGCGTGGACAGGCCAGTTCACAATCTGGGCCAAGTGGGCTCCTCCACTGGAACGAAGCAAGCTCACCAGCATTGCGGGCTCTGGTAAGGGCAGGCACGTGCCCCAGGCTTGCCAACTGGTCCAGTCTTCAGTGGCCTTCCCTCTAGAAATCAGGGGGCTTGGGCAAGAGGGGAAAGTGCTACTGAAAATTCAAGAACATGGCCAGGTACATACGGAAGGAGGGGGACATCTGTGCGATAGAGACACCAGGGCTGAGAAGCAGAAAAGCCCCTGGGAGCCCCAGTCCAGCAGCCCTGTGGGAGAAAGGCTAGAGCTTTAGGGATGGCACAATGGAGGAGGTCAAGTGGACCATCTGAACTCCATTTTAGCAAGGACGCTGATGTGAAAACCAAGGCCACCAGAGCTCAGAGCGGCAAGGAGATGAGTTCCCAGTGCCTGAGCCATGGGAGCCACTTCGCTTTCTGCACTAAGGAGTCCTCGCCTCGGCCCTCTGGTGTGAGGCGACTTCCTTCTCCGGGGAGGGGAGTTCAGGGAGGTGGAGATGAAATAAAGACCCAAATGCAAAGAGCCAGTAGGCAGTACAGCTGGGACTCGAGCCTGGCAGTCTGGTCCAGAGTGCGCACTCTGGGTCCTGGTGCTGGACCTCCGTCCAGAGTGCCTGGTCCTGCTGGGCCCTCTAGCGCCTCGCTGCTTTCCCCAACCCGAGGATCAGCACTGCAGAACCGCTTTCCCTTCCAGCCCCTCACCCCCAGGTCCCACAGGCAACCACATCTGTGAGATCCCTCACAGCAGCTCCCCTGTGGGTCAGTGCTGTCCCCACCTCCTGTATTTCAAATGCTCCCAGCTGGTCCTGTCCTCTAGATTGGTTTCTTCCAGGCTCCTCTTCCCATCAAAGCCAAGTTATCTTCTTAAAGTTCGGATGGAGCACCTCTGCTCCATTTCCTGGGCCTCCTCAGAGTGCTCCTTTATGATCAAGGAGTGGAGAACAGGAGGCCGTGAGGGTGCTCTGCCCTCTGGTCCCAGCCTGCGTTCCGCTTAGTTCCCTCTGTAGCAGGGCTCTGCGGGCTTCAGTCCCCCAGGGTCCCCACTCATCCTCACTCTGCTCCCCTGCACTCTCCTCCAGGGGCTTCTGTCCCTGAAGAGTTCCCTGACCCTGGTCTTCTTGCCTACATGCCACCATCTTATTGCTTGGCTCATATAAAAAACTCTTCCATCTTATAATCACTGTTAGTTTATCCTCATGGGTATTTCCATAGAAAACATTATAGCTTTATTGTCATATTTCTATCCTAGACCATTTTCTGAGTTGGAGACTGAATTCTATAACCCATTAATAAATGATGACCACTAAGGGGTCATAAAGTCAAGTTAGTGGGTAAAAATCACTAAAGAGTGAAAATGAATAGAATAGACGCTGCCGGGTGCTTTGCCATGGTAAAGGTAGGTATTGGTTCATGAGACTTTGGTTGGAAGCATGTGCGTGTCGTTGTGAGACAACTGTCTGCCTATTTGGTGTATGCCATGTTGCTGTGTAAGATGTATCTCCTGCCATGACTCTGCGGAATATGTTGTGGTTGTTTCAAGGTCTACAATGTACTATACTTGGGATAGTGGGTTTTTCCCTCTGGACCAAAAGGTCCTGAGGACAGGGGCTGTGGCTTATTAATTTCTGTGCCAAACTCATATGGTGCCGTGGGACATACTGGTGAGCTGTAATTGAAGAGTTTCTAGGACAAACTAGGGGGCTTAGCGCTGGCTGCGTTGACATGGGGAGTCAGTGAAGACCAGGGACATGTCACTATTATTTATTGATGCCAGTCACCTCGCAGTGTTAATGGGAAGAACTGTGAGCAGGGACCATGCTCCCACCACTCAGTAAGGCTGGGTCAGCCGCTTCACCTCAGGGACAGGGTCCAGAGGGCTAGACAGTCTCGCCTTTGCTGATTTCCTAAGTGTCTTCTCCTGTTCCCTTCAGGGGCAGCGTTTGGATCCTTCTTCATCCTCTGTGTCGGGGGATTGATCTCCCAGGCACTGGGCTGGCCTTTTATCTTCTACATCTTTGGTGAGTCATCATCTCTGAGATCCTAACACCTTCCTGGGCATTGGTTTTGATACACCTTCTTCTCATGTTAAGAGAAGATATCCTCATTAAGTGGAAAATGAGGAAGAACGTCAAGGTTTGGTAACTTTCTTAATCTTTGGGGACACCCCATGCACAGGGCAGAGGAGATAACTCCACACTGGTGCCAGCTTCTGACCAGTCAGCATGAAACCTTCCCCTTCTGCCCCATGCATCTGCTCAGAATCTGCACATCCAAAAGGCCTGGGCTATGTGACTGAGATGTCACAGCTGGTTGAGGACATCTTCAAGACGTCTTCACATTGTGATATAATTGTTCTGCCCGTGATGCCGTTAACCTGTTCTCTACAAGCTGAATCTTTCTAAGCTCAATTCAAACCTCTCCTTCTCCAGGGGGCCTCCCAGGACCTACGCCACCGGATCCAGCTGTTCTCTCCTTTATGATCCTGACTGATATTTCCTCTCCGGGTTATGGGGGGGGGTGCAGTCATCTGTGCCCCCTTCTCATTTTCCTTCTAAATTGGGCGATGCTTGAGGCAAGGAGTCATTAGATAATAAGTTCTATTTATCACTTTGATGGCATCAGAGTGTCTGAATCTTATCTATAAAAAAATGGATGAATACTGGTGGAACAAATCAAAAGAGCATGAGTCCCCAAAGTATTTTACCATAGAATATTATTCCAGTGACAAAGCCCAGTACTGAGACAAGTTTCTACCATTGTTCTTTTTATCAGAGCCACATGGTGTCAATAAAGATGGCTCTAGCTTGGGTTGCTTTCTCATTAGTGAGGCTAACCCCAGATGTTTGGTGTCACACGTTAACCAGGTATTATCAAGAAGTATTTCCTCTGGGAATCCGTAATGGATGTGGTTTGAATACAAATAACACTCTTGCAAATGTGCTGGAAATCATTCTGGCCACACTGACCTCCTGGCAGGTTGATTCATGTATGTATAAGTGCTTTCTGTCTTTGGTCCTGACTCTTCTGATCTTCCCAAGCAAGGCAGTAATGTGTGTAGTGCAAAGTTGCTGCTAAAACACATACTACTATAAACCTGAGAACGAATAGTCGGCTGGCAATGGTTGGCTCCTGCCCCTGACATCTGTAGAGGGCTCTATTGTTGACAAAAGGCAGATCTGCACTTGGGGGTGGTATCTGAAAAGGTTCTGTGGAGGAAGTAGCTTCATAGGATGGGCAGAAAGAAATGGAAAATCTATGCCTTCGAGGTGGCATGCTAAAATGATATGGTGTGGTGGTGGAGAAAGGCAGGACGCTGCACAGGACACTGCCCCCACTGGTGCACACACCTACCTGGAGACTGATGTGTCCCTACTTCCCAGGTAGCATTGGCTGTGTCTGCTGTCTCCTGTGGTTCACGGTGATTTATGATGACCCTACGCATCACCCGTGCATAAGTGTCAGGGAAAAGGAGCACATCGTGTCCTCTCTGGCCCAGCAGGTACAATGGCCCTCCCAACCCGTGGGCCATGGGGAGGCACCCGGGCAGGTGTGGGCCTCCAGATAGAGGTGTTCTCTAGTCTGTCCCATCCCCAAGCTGATTAGATATTTCCTTTCAGCCCAGTTCTCCTAGACGATCTGTCCCCATAAAGGCTATGGTCAGATGCCTGCCGCTTTGGGCCATTTTCACGGGATTTTTCAGCCATTTCTGGCTGTGCACCATCATCCTAACGTACCTGCCCACCTACATCAGCACTGTGCTCCATGTCAACATCAGAGAGGTGAGTCGCTTCCTGTACTTGTGTGCAGTTCGTGACCATGACAAGAGCTCGGTGCCTCCTGCTGCATTTTGTCTTTGCTTCTAACTTGAAGTTGAGTCTGAAAGTGGCCCTGCAGTGATGCCCATGTCACAGACGTGGAGATGGGACACGGGCGGGATGACTTGCCTGAGGTTGCAGGACTGACAATCAGAGCTGCTGCAGCCTCTTTGCCCTAACCACTCTGCTACACTGCCATGCCACCTGCATCTAAAGCTTCTCTTGGAAACTAGTGACACTCTCCCTGGAGACCAGCTGGAGGGGTGCTGTTTCTTTCACCTTCCGGTGTGGCAAAGGATGCACGCTTTCCTCAAACAACTCAGGAGGATGGGGACAGGCTAGTGGCTGGTCTGTGTGACTGAACACTGGGGGCTAAATTTGCGTCTGTAACTACTTGTCCGATTTCCTTCCTGCAGAGTGGGGTTCTGTCCTCCCTGCCCTTTATTGCAGCCTCAAGCTGTACAATTTTAGGAGGTCAGTTGGCAGATTTCCTTCTGTCCAGGAAACTCCTCAGCCTCATTGCCGTGCGGAAACTCTTCTCGTCCCTGGGTAAGGACAGGCAGGAGGGTTCAGGGCAGCAGGCCCTTTTCAGCAGTGGCCTGAGGGGGCTGACAGGTGTCCTCACTGCCCAGGGCTCCTCCTTCCATCACTGTGTGCGGTGGCCCTGCCCTTCGTGGCCTCCAGTTACACCATGACCATCGCTTTGCTGATACTCATTCCTGGGACCAGCAACCTGTGTGACTCGGGCTTCATCATCAACACCCTGGATATTGCCCCCAGGTAGGAGCTCTGCCTGTCTCCCTGCTCCCGGGCACTCGGGCGTTAGGCCTCAGCCATCACCCCGCGGAGCTTCCCAGCTACTGACGTGCACCAGACGGAGGCGGGAAGGAAGTAACTGGCAATGCAGTTCACGACCATGACCTGATGTAGCATTCTTAGAACAAACTCCCAGCAATCATTTAGATAAATAGCTTCTCAAGCTCCCGACCAGAGATTAGACTGTGTGCTTTGGGAAAGGGCCCAGAGACATCTGTTTTGGAAGTTTCTAGGGTGCTGACTGCATTGGCTACCACGCATGGATGGAGCATTGAGAGCCGACCCCTGTGCTAGAACCTTCTTATAAACCAGCACACCTAATCCTTACAGCTGTGCCCCCAGTGCAGGCAGAAGACTGGGGCAGGAGGGGTCACGTGGCCTGACTGTGGTTGCACAAGGCAAGAGCCGGACTAGGACCCGCACGGCTTGGTCCCCGAGTCTGTGTCCTGCCCTGTAAACTGCCTGCCAGGCTGAGTGGTGGGGTGGAGAAACTCAGCCACCCAGAGAATGGACCTCTGGTATTGTGGTTATTGACCCAGGGGGCAGGTGATTTCATGGTTGGTGAATACATCTCACCCTGATGTCCTTAGGAAAGCGAAAAGCCACACTAGGCACAATGATGTGCCATTAGAGAGGGGTTCACTGAAGATGAATTGTGCAGAAAACACAGGGGGCTTTGCACATCAATCCACCCGTAAAATCATCTTCTCCACAGATACGCAAGCTTCCTCATGGGGATCTCAAGGGGATTCGGCCTTATTGCAGGAATTGTCTCCTCCACGGCCACCGGATTCCTTATCAGTCAGGTTGGGATTGTTATTGAACATCTGCAAGTGGCAGGTATCATTTGAGGCGTTGGACATACACACGGTGCTCTTAAGTCGGTGGGGTCTAATGGGGGAGCAACAGGCGTGACAGGTACTCCCTGATCCACGCACCTGTAAGTCAGACGCAGAGGTCAGGTTTCCCAGGGGGAGGAAACAAAAGCTGGGTTTCTGAAAGTGAAAGGCTGTCCAGTTCATGGCAATGGGCCCCTTGGGTGCAGCAGATGGCAGGTCTGACTTCCTGTGCTGAGAAGCAGGAAGTCCTGAGTTCTGAGCACAGAGAACGACAGGTGTCATAGGAGCAGTAGACGGAAGGCAGGGGAGAAGGAGGAGAGTCACCAAGACTCTTCAGGCTGAAACCACAAAGGGAACATAAAGTGTCCAAGGCTAGTTTGAAGAGACTGAGCTGTGGGGGAGAGTATGCTGGGCATGGTGAGGAGCCTGCCATGAGGTTTGCTCCATGCTGGGGACCCTGAGTAGGAGAGGAAGGCAAGGGAGAACGAGGAGCCAGGCTGGGATGGAGGCTGAGGAGGGTCAACTTTCAAAGCAAAGTTTTGTTTTTATTACATCAGGTTAATTTGTGTTGGGGGCGGGGGGCGGGGGGCGGGATTGAACTCAGGGACACTCAACCACTGAGCCACATCCCCAGGGCAATTTTGTGTTATATTTAGAGACAGGGTCTTTCTGTGTTGCTTAGCACCTTGCTTTTGCTGAGGCTGTCTTTGAACTCGCGGTCCTCCTGTCTCAGCCTCACAAGCCACTAGGATCAAGGCGTGTGCCGCCATGCCTGGCCATCAGGTTGATTTTTGAACCAATTGCTGAGAACCTGCTGTGACCTCAATGCTGGAAATGACTTGAGACATTCTAGGGCTGGGTGAGGAGGGTCGCTTAGGCAGACCAAGTGTAAGCCATGTGTCCCTGAGATGTCTACCTGAGGGATGGTTGTGATCGATGCCCAAACAAGGACACAGCCATGGGGTCTTGATGATGCCATTTTAGGCACAATTGGGAGTAATACTAAATTTTCATGAATGTTGAAATTCAAATTCTAGGGAAACGTTAGTGTCATTGGATTTATTTTTGTTAAAAAGATGACCATCCCAACTCAGAACCCATGTGCATTCAGAGGAACCTTGTTTCCTTCAGTTTCATGGACCCTCTACTGACTGAGGATGTTAAGTGTCTCCTGCACATTTTCCATTACATTCTTGGTGGTCAGCATCGTAGTGCACAACAGAGAGGATTTCTGTAGCTGCTGGAGGAGGAACTTGGGAGATTAATGATTGCCATGTTCTTATGTCCAGGATTCTGAGTCTGGATGGAAGAATGTATTTTTCTTGTCTGCTGCGGTCAACATGTTTGGTCTGATCTTTTACCTCACATTTGGACGAGCAGAAATCCAGGAGTGGGCCAAAGAAAGAACTCTCACTCGCCTCTGAGGAAGTGGAGCTGCACACTTAACTGTAGTACTGACTCTTGGCTTTTTGACATTTTTTACTTATCACCATTCTTTCTTTACATTCCTGACCATAGACATGGAGGATCTCAACTCTGGCTGAGTGTTCTGCCCTCTTAGGGAGCCTTCAACCATATTCTGGTGCCTGGGGCCTCCTCCAGAGATTCCAAAGGAATTGGCCTAGGGTGGAGCCCAGATACCACTAATTGTTAGACTCCCAGGAATTTCAACATGCAGCATCTGTATTGACAATTGCTGAACAAGGCTGAGAAGTCAATTCCTGTTGCTTTCAAATTTTCCTCTTTGGGAAGTACTAGATAAATAAAATCTATGTGAAAATAATCACTGATAAATACCTTCATGGGTGTGGTTATGAACACAGAGATCTGCTGGGAATTGCAGCCATATGCCAGAGAACTCAGCTCAGACCCCAGTTTTAAAACTGTAATCCAGAGAATTAACATTCATTGTTTCTATATGCTGTGAAACATGATGCTTATTTATGTGGTTTAATTCTACTAACATTTACATGCTAAAATTAAGCAGGGCATTTCAAATCTATTTAGATTTGGATTATTTCCATCAGGCAAAGCAGATATCTGTTCATTCCAGCTAAACTCCAGATTAAAACCAGAAAATGACCAGGAAAAGATTAAGTGAATGAGGTTAGCTAGAATTCAGGGAGATATGACAGAATTGGAAAGCTCTTACTGTGATGTGTGGGCAACAATGTGGGCACAGGGAAATGTTGAGACCAGGTAGTGAAAATCCCAGGGAGGGGAGAGAAGCATTTTCAGGGGAAATGACAATTTATATGGGGGAGGAAACTGCTAAAGGTGTGAAGGGATACAGCAAGGCCCAGAAAGGTAGGACTTCAAGGGAAGCTCCTGTGAGCCTAGAGAGGTCATTCTGCCTTCTCCATGTTCTCCTTAGTTTCCCAAGACTCTCCCTCACCGTTGGTCCAACGGAAATCGATTCTGGCTCCGACACCTCAAACCTATCCTCCAGGTCATCTCCACACATAGCATATTCTGTTTGCCTCAACTTTTTTAGAGAAGTCCCCACCCTATGTAGAGCCCTGTTAGAACCACAGGACCAGAGCCACAGGGAGATTCAGCAGGTGAAGAGAATCTCCCAATGCTGATCGACAGGCTATTTTGTGAGATGTTTTAAGGAAAATGGAGGGTGAGGCCCACAGGGTGACGCTAATATGAGAACACATCTGCTGTCCGGATATTGACAATATATTGAAAAGGAGGATTCTTAGAAAACTCAAAGAAGAAAAGAGAAAGATAGTAAAGTGAACAGGAAAATTATATACAGGACATTTTTTTTTTAAAAAAGAGGGGGTGGGAAGCAACCAAATAGAAAAATGGGCAAATGACTCAAACAGGGAATTCAAAAAAGAGAAATGTAAGTTGCCCATCTGTATAAAAAATGCAGTCAACTTCAACAGTTACTAGAAAAATGAAAATCGAAGCTCAAATGAGATACCATGACCCACTTAACAGGATGGATAAAATACAACAGCAGATGTTGGCACAGGTGTGGGGCAGTTGGAACTTTGTACTCTAGGAATGTGAGTGTAAGTTAGAACTTTGGACAGACACTTGGCGAGGTCTCCTAAAGCTAAGTGGGCGGTTTCCACAACTCAGACATTTTGTTTAGAATTTCACACATTTGCAAAAACATGCCCAGCTATGTTCATAGGAGCCCTACCAAGAGTGGCCCAAAGAGGAAAGAACTAAGTTATCTGGAAAGAAGAGAATAAATAAATAAGCCATGGTCCACTCACCCTGCAACAAGGATAGACAGACCTAGATGCACACCAGCACCGATGGTTCTCACGATACAACACGAGGAGAAGAAAACAAAAAGTGCATTTTGTAAAACAGACAAAATGAACATATCCTGTTAATAATCAAATTAGTGACTTTCCTCTGGCAGTGGTGGGAGTCGTGCTTGGATGGGGACTGGTGATATTTTAGCTCTTGACACTTGTATGGTGGCTCAACATACAGGAATGTGCCACTTGGTGAGAAGTGTCCATCTCTGAGGGTGCACTTTTGTAAAGGTGAAAAGTAAGACATTTACTTGAAATATGTTCAACATTTCACCCATTTCAAAGTTTCTCTTCTCTCTTTGGCTTAGGTGTGACCTGCGGAGCACTTGGGAAGGGGTCTTGGTCCTCTCCTTTCACGTTCCTCTTTGTCCCCTCTCTCCTCCCCTGATGGATCCTCTAGCATCAATCCAGTTGTCAGCTCTCGGACCAAAGGCCAAGTTCCCAAACAGCAAAATGATGAGCTCAGGCTTCCAAGAAGCCATGAGCCTGGAAGCCCCGGTTTCCTTGAGAGGTAAGCACCACACCACGGTGGCCTGCGGGACTGGTTGTCTGGGTGTTCTGGTGGACACCTGATAGATAGCATCCGCGTCAGAGACTCTCAGGCACCTTTCCCTGCTTGGCGGTTTGAGGAAGAATCACCATTCACGTTTCCTAATGGCTTCAGAACAGAGGCGACTGTGAGCTGGCAGAAAGATCTGTGCCCTCCCTCATCCCTATGAATTGTTGTAACATGAATGTGCACACAAATTAATCCACTTTCCTCAAATAGCTTATTGCCATCTATTTAACAGTGAGATAATCTTTTCAGCTGTTAAAATATTATGAATTATATTAACATTTCTTAATGTCGAGCAATATTTTCCTTGATATTCTTTTACAGTGGGCTTTGATTCATTAACAGTTTATTCAGGGCTTGGTCTGCTGTGTCGGCATGTGGTCTGGCTCTGTATGATTTTGCTTTGTGTGAACATCAGGTGTGGAGATGAGGCGCATGCCCAATTCACAAAGAGAAAGAGACACTTTCCTTAAGCCCTACACCCTGAAAATGATGAACTGCTATTTTTTAAATGACTCTTTTTATCTAAAGACTTGAAAGTGTTAATTTATAAAACTACGTAGGCTTAAAGCCATTTTGAGGAGAGTTCTTTGATAACTTTCTCAATTTCCTTCATTGTATTGTTCTTTTAAGTAAGGGTGTTTACATTTTCCTTGATCAATATTGACTATTTTCATTATGTTGAAGGTCAATCCATTTTAAACGTAATGTAAAATGCTTTGGCAAAATATTCAAATGTTTTGTCAAATTATCTCTTCATAATATACTCATTTTTATCCATATCTGAGGTTTTGGCTTCTTTTTTACTTTTGAAATGATGTGTATATACTTCTTTCTGCTTCATTGGGCCACTTAGTAATTTACTGATTTTGTTTTTATATTTTATTTTATTTTGGTACTAGGGATTGAACCCAGGGGGTTTAACCATTGAGCCACATCCCCAGCCTTTTCTAATTTTTTGTTAAGAGACAGGATCTCATTAAGTTGCTTAAGGACTTGCTAAGTTGCTGAGGCTGGCTTTGAACTCACAATCCTCCTGGAGACTGCCCCAGAGCAGATGGGGATTACAGGCATGTGCCACCGAGACTGGCTAATTTACTTATTTTAAATATTTATTTTTTTGTTTTAGGTGAACACAATATCTTTTTTTTTTTAAGAGAGAGAGTGTGAGAGAGAGAGAGAGAATTTTTCAATATTTATTTTCTAGTTCTCGGCGGACACAAAATCTTTGTTTGTATGTGGTGCTGAGGATCGAACCTGGGTCGCACGCACACCAGGCAAGCACGTTACCGCTTGAGCCACATCCCCATCCCTTAATTTGCTTATTTTAAAGATAGATTGTCTTTTGACTTTATAATTTTTTAACTTTATCTTTTACCAATCTTATTTCCTACTTCTCTTTATTTTATTGACAAGTTTGTTTTGAGTACTTAGTGTATTTTCATTCACATCTACTTAATTATGAAAAAGGTTAAGTCTCAGAGGGCCGTCTGCTCTTCTCCAACTCACTTTTGTGGGCAGATTGCATTTTGATGTATTGTGCCTCTTTCATGGTTTTCTTGATACTTTAATTCTGCAGTTAATAACCCGTGGAGTAAAGCAGCCACGGTGCCTTCCCTGTGCACCCTCTCATAACCGATGATGCAGAGTTCCTTTTTTTTCACATTGAGAAAAAGTGCTTTTTTTTTTTTTTTTTAAGTTTGTATCAGTGAGGATGTTTGTGTTTAGTTATTAAAACCATCCTGGCTTGGGTAAGCATGGGTAGGTTATTCACAGACACTGAGTGGAAACAGGGTCAGATGCTGCCGTGTCTTAGCTGCCGATGGCTCCCTGCTAAAACCAAGGGGACATGAACCAGCAGCGTCCATTCTCCTATCTCCCTGCTCAATATTTAAGGTCTCCCAGAGAATGGTTGGTGACATTTAGGTCACACTCAGTGGGCAAGAGTTCTCCAAGATAAAATATTAGAGATATAAAGTCAATTTTTCCTTTTTAAAGTATGAAATAGGACCAGTTCCACCTAAGCCAGATACCGCTAAAGCAGAGTGAAGACACTTTTTTTCCAGGGACTCCTCCTGGCTGCCCCAAGTACCTCTGCAAGCCTCAGGACCGGACGGACGCAGGGAGGCCAAGCGTATGGAGACCCTGGATAGGATCCTTCTTCACGACGTTGCTTGAAAATTCAGGCCAGTCTGGCACTGGGAGCTCCACTATTTTTGTGGTTCTCAAGACTAGTCCTGGGAATGAGTGCCATTTATAGAGTGGCACAGGAGGATGCTGGCACACAACGGTTGGATGTAAATGTGTCCTTGTCCTCATACAGATAGATATGGGAAGGGACCCAAATGCATCAACAGGCTCAGAGTGGTGACCGAGAATACTATTTATAGGACCCAGATACTAGGGCACAGGAAGGTTGAGGACTCTTTCAAGCAGACACGTCGTTATTCCCACATTCTTTCAAATCTGATCAGCGCCTGTGTTTGTACTGAGTTCTTGTCCAGCAGAGCTGCTTGCTTCCTGGCTGCTCAGGAGCGGTGTGCAGAGCGGACGGCAAGAGTGAACTCCGGCTTACTTTGCGGGTTGCCGCATTTCTGTCCGGAAATCATAAGAAGCCAGGTGACCTCTTACCACGAGTCCTAACTAAACACACCTGCAGTATTTGAAAGGGTTGCTCTTCCCCGGCCTTGCCTGTCTCAGTGGGGTGAACAGGCTCCCTGCCTGGGTCCGTCATGCTTGGTGGTGGTGCCCATGGGCTTGGTCCCATGAAGGGCTGCCTCCACACCTCGGAGAGCTGAGTGGTTCTGCTGGCTGCTGGATGGCTAAGCAGTCTTCATGGGGCCTGGGCTTTTCTCCATCTCCATCTGCTTCGCTTTGCTCCATGTTTGGCACTGCGCCTGGCACTGTTGCTAACTCAGCAGTTGCAGGGTCATTGCCCTGGTG